GTATTCGGGGGCAAGAACTTTACTGTGATGAACCCAAACTCCTGCAGAATTAGGTCATCCAAGTTTGGAGGATGAGCAGGTGCATTGTCCATTACTAGGAGGCACTTGAGGTCCAATTTCTTTTCCAGGAGATACTCCTTCACACTAGGGCCAAACACTTCATTGAACCACTCGACGAAAATTTCCCTTGTGATCCATGCCTTACTATTAGATTTCCAAAACACACACAATTTACTCTTCATAACATTGTTTTTTAACACTCTGGGATTTTCAGAATGATACACTAGTAACGGCTTCACTTTGAAATCCCCACTAGCATTTGCACAGAACATGAGCGTCAGCCTGTCTTTCATAGGCTTGTGTCCTGGCAGTCCCTTTTCCTCCTGAGTAATGAAGGTCCTCTTTGGCATTTTCTTCCAAAAGAGGCCTGTTTCGTCACAACTGAACACTTGTTCAGGTTTCAGTCCTTCAGCCTCTATGTACTCCTTGAATTCACTTACGAATTTTGTAGCTGCAATTTTGTCTGAACTGGCAGCCTCACCATGCCTTACCACACTGTGTATGCCACTATGGTTCTTAAATCTCTCAAACCAACCTTTGCTGGCCTTAAATTCACAAATATTAGTACTCGTTGCAGGCAATTTCTTTACCAGATCGTCATGCAACTGCCTAGCCTTTTCACAAATAATCGATATCATAAGACTATCTCTTGCTAATTGTTTCTCATTTATCCACACCAATAATAACTTCTCAACCTCTTCAAGTACTAGTGATCTCATTTTTGTCAGCATATTTACCCACTTTGCAACAACAGCTTCCCTGATTTCCTTTTTCTTGGCCACGATGGAAGATATGGTTGTACGGGATTTGTTATACATCCTGGCCAGTTCGGTCACACGTACACCACTTTCATATTGTTCAATGACGTTTTTCTTAAATTCAATCATATTTCTCACCTTCTTTACCAAAGGCTTGGCACTAGGAGCTTTCTTTGGAGCCATGGTAGCTTATTTAGCACTTGCAAGCACTAAAATGAATGGAATATTATGAAATATTTCGTATGAACACGTGAGGGGGCTGTCGCTCACTGGTAAACAATGGCACACTGGCTGGGAAGGGAGGCTGAGGTGGCTCAGAGCCGTAAATACGCGTCCAGGATGAATAACGATTAGCAAGTCAACCGACCATTTGCGAGCCAATGTTTGAACTAAAATAATGCGACGATTTCCAAAAAGGACGACTATCGAGCCCGACTATTATCGAGGGACCACTGTAAAGGAAATCAAATTAATCCGTTCCTGATGCCCCAAAGGATGAAAAAAAATTTTTATCACATGAAACATTAATTTTAATACACGCAAATTGAAGAAGACATGCACAATTACTACTCTACTAAGAATAGAATACATGACACTTACCTTTATTGAAGATCTGGTGATGATTGATGGGATGGGAGGAGGGGAGTGTGTGGAAGTTATTGTTTAGAAGGGAAATCCCCTTCCATTAGGACTTGAGGTAGCAAGTCCTTTTCCATGGTTACTTCCCTTGTTTTAATTAATACCATTAGGACCAGCTTGAGTCACTGGACCTCTGTAAAACAACAAATCTGTCCATAGAGCTCTGTACCTCCCGTTCCTTTAAGACTTTCCTAAAATGGGCCATAACGTTGTCATTGTACAGGTTGCCAACACGGCTTGCAGTAGCTGTGTCAGGGTGATTTTCATCCGTAAAGGTTTGCAGTTCAACCCAATTTGCACACATTTCCTTAATCTCTTTTTTCAATTCCATATTAATTCTCACCCTTTTTACCACAGGAATGGCACTAGAAGCTTTCTTGAGGTCCAAGGTGACTTATTTTGCAGTTACAAGCACTAAAAACACTGGGATAATGTGAAGTGTACCGAGTGTATGCGTAGATGCGACTGCACTGGCTGGCTTGTAAACACTGGCGGAGGCCACACGTGGGACGCGTCCCGGACGAATCATGTAAGGCGAGTTTTTTATCGTGAGGCGAGGCAAAATTTTTGCTTTCAAATGCTTCGTATGGCGGATTTAATGTAACACGATGCGTTCGTAAGGCTGGGGTCCACTGTATTCAGATAGTATTTCTCACCCTTTTTACCACAGGGTTGGCACTAGAAGCTTTCTTTGGGCCCATGGTGGCTTATTTAGCAGTTACAAGCATTAAAAACTCTGGAATAATACAAAACTTATTGAATGTATGCGTGCAACCGTCTGCCCTAGCTTGTAAACAATGTCACACTAGCTCGGCTGAGGTGCTCAGGCCTGATGGACCAGACGGCCGCGTTCGGGACGAATGATATAAGTCAAGTTTTTGAACGTAGGTCAGGGTCAAATTTTTACGCTGACAAGCATCGTAAGTCGGTTTTATCATAGGTTGAGGCCATCATAAGTCGGGGGTCCACTGTACATTCTATTTCAAAATCTCTACAATCCTACAAGGAAATTTTTTTTTCTAAGAAAATCCAATTTGTTAAAATGTCTAAAAACTGGTCAACTGACATCCAGACAGCCTAAAATTTACATACTTTTTTTTTCCCAACAAACCGGTTGTATCCCATTAAGACAGGGTGACCTAAAAGGAAAATGAAAGCTTTTCTTTTCACATTTAGTAAATTATACAGGAGAATGGGTTACTAGCCCCTTGCTCCTGGCATTTTAGTTGCCTCTTACGACACACAACATTTTAAGTTATAATATACCAGAGTTTATGGCTGGAAGCCAATCAAAAATCATTCTCTAGTCATGACATGGCAAACAATTTATTCAATAAAATTGACAAATCTAGACTTTTTGTACCCCATAACAGCAGTAACCGAGATCAGGAAACCACACCAGTGATAAAAAATTTTTTAAGCTAATCAGAATAGGCTTTCTCCAGTTATGGCACCAATTCCTCCAATGCCAAGTTTTTTTTTTTAGCTATTTTACTTAAAAATTAAACTTAGTACTATTCTGGGCTTAAGATGCATCTGTCATTAAATATAGAAGCCATTCAGAATAGAAAAATATTGTCTTGCTCCAAGAACATCAACACCACAGTTCATATCCACTGAACTAATATTGCTACCCACCCTTCAGAGTGTACATACTGTATATTATTTCTCACCTCCAGGGTTCAAACCCAACTAACTGGTTGGCCAAAATATCTTCATGAATGTTACCTCTCTCACTCCCACAGTACATCAAATCCATCAAAAAGATAGCTACACAGCTTCATTATACAGTAAACCCTCAATATAACAGACTAATAGGGACATCTGTTAATCAGAGAAAAGCTCATAGCATTGAAGTATACTCTGCTGGACACCTAATATAGCACTGTACACAATTTACAGATATACTGAAAGAAAACTGAAAAACATTTAAAAATAAAACCAATTCAGTATATTTGGCCCATAAAAACATTCATTGTAATGTATGCTATATCAGACTATAGTCATCTCTAATATCTGAATAAATTTGTATCTTTTTAGATTTGTGCTCATTTTGTACTTCAGACACAATCTGCAAAATGATCTGCTTAATATGAACATTCATATGAAAAAATGACCAGATCTGAGCACAGATATAAAATTAATGGATAACTGAATATATTGGTGACAGCTCATCAGTAAACACTCTGGACAAAGAAAATAGTCAAACTAGTAAGCCCACCAGTTTGGAGGGATGCCTGCTTGCCTTTGAACACTGTGGAAGGGGGTCTAGGGACAGGGTGAGCAAGTATGAATTTTTCATTAACATGGCACTAACTGTGCATACAATTTACAGGGCTGATGGTCCTGTGAACAGGTCATCCACTCCCATACTGTTTTTCTATACCACTCTCAGACACCATTCATGCTATATACAAGGAAGTTCTGTAAATAATTCATCCCATATCTGTATATTGATAAATTCTGCACACTAATAAAATAGGAAGTGTTGCATAAACCCAGTGAAAAACCAGGGGCACCAAGAGAACAAGTGGAGAACATATGCTACACACATGTGTAACACATGTGTTACACATGTGTTACACATGTTACACATGTGTTACACATGGTCCAAGACTCCAACCTGTTACAGAAGGTGTCAAATATTACTGCAACAATGGTAGACATTTTCAAGAGGAAACAGAAAAGTATTTACAACGGGCATCCGATCAGCTGGGTTGTGGTGGCTATGTGGGCCTGAGCTGCTAGCACTAACAGCCTGGTGGATCTGACAGCCAACAGGAAAAGCCTGACCTCACACCAGCCTGCAAGGCTAAAAAAACTCTTAAAACCAAACAGTTAAGTCATCCTCTTTCATGTTTTTCCGCTCATTGTTGTAGCATTTTTTTTTATTTACCACTAAGCTATGACTTCAATGCTTTTGGGTTTGTAAGCCCAGTGTTGCCTGGAGCTCAGGACACACGCTCCTGATCTAACCCCCATTTCACCTTGTTTTCATGCCATCCACAGCTCCCTCTCCTTGGAACCTGACCTCATACCCCTGTACATAGCTTTGTGTACCCCATAGCCAATGAACCACTAGCAGCTAAGATAAGGTGACCCAAAAAGCACAAAACACATTTACCATCATTCATTCAATAGCTTTCTTGCCAGAAGTGCACAGGCATCACATTTTAGATGTCCTTCCTCAAGTGCAATATCCCTAACCCTCTTCTGGAGTAAAGGAATTGTACATCCCACCTTCAAGGCTCAGGTCTGGGCAACCAGTTTTTCTGAATCCCTTCATAAACATTACCTTGCTCACACTCAAAAAGCATGTAAAGTCATGAAAACCACTATCTGATCTAACATTCACAAACTTGTGAGATGTTAAAGGCCCTAGCACTCTACTTCCTTTACCCCCTTCCAGCAGTAACAGCCTATCTAATCAGACCCTGATCCGCCACAAGGCCTGGTCTCAGACCAAGCTGCGGGCGTTGACCCCCGAAACCCTCTTCAGGTATACCAACCCGACATAGCTATCAGAAAATAAACTTTACCCACCTTGGGAAGGGACGATATAATATATTCAGTTCTTCAAGGAGCCACTCAAAGCACCTGTAGTCCATTCTTCTGAGATTTTTGAGGAGTTTCTTTCTACGATCTATCAGTTCAAGCAGGCGAACCCTCTCCTGAGTATTCTTTTTCCACTGGAATGTTGCTCGCTGCAAGTTACGAATTTTCACTGTCAACATGGCAACTGGAAAAGATTGATATTTTGTTTTAAAAAATCATTCATACATTGCTTCTCAAACAATAAGTAATTTTTATTTTTAAGTCTGATACACTGTACTGGGTATATCAAGATTTTTTTATATTTTTTTATGCATAATACTCAGTTACTAAGGAATATAGTGTTAGATCCGAAGGATTACACTAAGTATATAATTCACAGTGCAGCAGTAACATGTTCAGCTCTTAGGCACAAATATCTGGACTCTTCACAAGTCTCCCAGCACCTGCCCCTACGTTTTTTCAACATTTGAAAGTATGTAAAAAAAGTAGATCTTTTCTTTTTGTACAGTTGAAAAAGTGTAAAAAAAAACTTTGATCTACATTTTTTTTTTTTGTTATATCTGAAAATGTGTAAAAAACATAGATCAACTTTTGGAGCACTACGCACGTGAACATAGATCTACTTGGACAGTTTAAGGGTTAACAGACAACCATTTATATCAAATACAGCCTCTCCTCACTTAACGATGGAGTTCCGTTCCTGAGACCATGTCATTAAATGAATTCAGTGAGGAGCATATTATAATGGTAGTGAGTGTGTCACCCATCTTTGATATTGTTTTAATGTCACCTTTGCATCATTTATAACATTTCTGGTATATTTTTAAATGTTTATACAGTAGTGTACTGTAAATGTTTATACAGTAGTGTACTGTAAATGTTTATACAGTAGTGTACTGTAAATGTTTATACAGTAGTGTACTGTAAATGTTTATACAGTAGTGTACTGTAAATGTTTATACAGTAGTGTACTGTAAATGTTTATACAGTAGTGTACTGTAAATGTTTATACAGTAGTGTACTGTAAATGTTTATACAGTAGTGTACTGTAAATGTTTATACAGTAGTGTACTGTAAATGTTTATACAGTAGTGTACTGTAAATATTATACAGTAGTGTACTGTAAATGTTTATACAGTAGTGTACTGTATATTGAAATAAACAGAATCCAGGAAATCAGCTCTAATGTATATTATTTAGGTACAAATACTGGTCAGAGCCCATTGTAAGTTCAAGGCTTTGGCAAACGAATGCGTCGCTAAGTGAGGAGAGGCTGTACTGACAGTTTGGGGGGACGTCTAAACTGCTGTACCCGAGTGCCTCTGCAAAGGCAGTGATTATGTATGGTGAAAGTGCTGAATGATAATTTTTTTTTTTTGGTGGGGGGATTCTTTCTTTTTGGGTTTTTTCTTTCTTTTTGGGTCACCCTGCCACGGTGGGAAACTGCAGACGTGTTAAAAAAAAAAAATCTTTAATACTGGCTTTCTCCTATGAAGATAGGGTGACTCCATAAAAAGGAAACATTCACCATTATTTATCTTCACCCTTCCCTCGAAATGCAGACATGTATTATTGTCACTACCATTTTGGCCACCAAATTGTTAATGTAACCAAAATGGATACTTCAGATGAGTACTTTCAATTTATATTACCAAATATTAATCCCTAAGTTGTAGCATAAAAAAAATTCCTGTTTGGGGGGAAGTTTTTGAAGGGGGGGAATTAAAACACCAGCGACATTCAAGTTTTACAGTTTGACAAGATTTGATTTAATTTTAATAACTTTTAATATTTAATACTATGCACTCTAATTTCGAGATGTTTCAAGTTGTTTTATCAGTGTGAAGATGGAACTTATTCTGATATTGTTCCACTTGGAACATACACAATATTGTTCCACTTGGAACATACACAATATTGTTCCACTTGGAACATACACAATATTGTTCCACTTGGAACATACACAATATTGTTCCACTTGGAACATACACAACATTGTTCCACTTGGAACATACACAACATTGTTCCACTTGGAACATACACAACATTGTTTCCACTTGGAACATACACAACATTGTTCCACTTGGAACATACACAACATTGTTCCACTTGGAACATACACAACATTGTTCCACATTGGAACATACACAACATTGTTCCACTTGGAACATACACAACATTGTTCCACTTGGAACATACACAACATTGTTCCACTTGGAACATACACAACATTGTTCCACTTGGAACATACACAACATTGTTCCACTTGGAACATACAACAACATTGTTCCACTTGGAACATACACAACATGTTCCACTTGGAACAACACAACATTGTTCCACTTGGAACATACACAACATTGTTCCACTTGGAACATACACAACATTGTTCCACTTGGAACATACACAACATTGTTCCACTTGGAACATACACAACATTGTTCCACTTGAAACATACACAACAATTGTTCCACTTGGAACATACACAACATGTCCACTTGGAACATACACAACATTGTTCCACTTGGAACATACACAACATTGTTCCACTTGGAACATACACAACATTGTTCCACTTGGAACATACACAACATTGTTCCACTTGGAACATACACAACATTGTTCCACTTGGAACATACACAACATTGTTCCACTTGGAACATACACAACATTGTTCCACTTGGAACATACACAACATTGTTCCACTTGGAACATACACAACATTGTTCCACTTGGAACATACACAACATTGTTCCACTTGGAACATACACAACATTGTTCCACTTGGAACATACACAATATTGTTCCACTTGGAACATACACAATATTGTTCCACTTGGAACATACACAATATTGTTCCACTTGGAACATACACAATATTGTTCCACCTGGAACATACACAATATTGTTCCACCTGGAACATACACAATATTGTTCCACCTGGAACATACACAATATTGTTCCACTTGGAACATACACAATATTGTTCCACCTGGAACATATACAATATTGTTCCACCTGGAACATATACAATATTGTTCCACTTGGAACATATACAATATTGTTCCACTTGGAACATACACAATATTGTTCCACTTGGAACATACACAATATTGTTCCACTTGGAACATACACAATATTGTTCCACTTGGAACATACACAATATTGTTCCACTTGGAACATACACAATATTGTTCCACTTGGAACATACACAATATTGTTCCACTTGGAACATACACAATATTGTTCCACTTGGAACATACACAATATTGTTCCACTTGGAACATACACAATATTGATAATTGTTTTAGTCAATTCTTTTACTACAATAATCTTCTAACACTGCAAGGAATACTTATATTACAATTGTTTCAAGGAAATAAGTCACACTGACTGTACTGGGTTATCCTAGGTTAATTATTTATGGTATGTGTGTACAGTGGACCCTCCATTTTTGTCAATCTCTGTTATCGCCGATTTAGGTTTTGGCAGACTTTTTCCGTCGATTTTTTGGCTCCGTTTTCGTCGATCGTATGGAACCTGTCCAGCGCCGCCTCCCACACCATTCTCAGCCAGTGTAGCGTGGTTTCTCGGCGAGTGAACATATCCTGCCAGGTCATATGAAACATTTCGTAATAATCCATTGTTTTTGCCACTTGTTTATTGTGTGTGACTGCTAAATAAGCTACCATGGCCCCAAAGAATGCTTCTAGTGCCAGTCCTTTGGTAAAATGAGGAACACTGTAAAAATTAAAAAAAAAAAATCCTAAGAAAATATGATAGTGGCATACACATTGCTCAACTCGACAGGATGTACGGGAAGTCACCATCAACAATCAGCTCCATTGTGGCAAAGAGAAAAGAAATCATGGAAGCTGATGTTGGGAAAGGGGTAAATGCGATAACCAAAAGAGAGATCCCAAACAATTGAAGAAGTGGAGAAATTGTTGTTGGTGTGGATTAGAGAGAAAGAGTTAGCAGAAGACAGTGTTGTGCAGTCAATTATTTGTGAAAAGGCAAGACAGTTACATGATGACCTCTTAAAGAAACTGCCTGAAACCAAGTGCTGATGTAGGTGAATTTAAGGCCAGCAAAGGATGGTTTGAAAAATTCAAGAAGCGAAGTGGCATACACAGTGTGGTAAGGCACGGCGAGGGTGCCAGTTCAGACAAACAAGCAGCTGAAAAATTTGTGCAGGAATTCAAATGTTATGTAGAGGCCAAAAAATTCCAACCTCAACAAGTGTTCAATTGTGATGAAACAGGCCTGTTTTGGAAGAAAATGCCAATGAGGACCTACATTATGCAGGAGGAAAAGGCACTCCCAGGACAGAAGCCTATGAAAGACAGGCTAACTCTCTTGTTGTGTGGTAACGCTAGTGGGGATTTCAAAGTGAAGCCTTTACTGGTGTATCACTGAAAATCCCAGTGTTCAAGAAAAACAGCGTTTTCAAGAGTAAATTGTGTGTGATGTGGAAGGCTAACAGAAAGGCTTGGGTCACCAGGGAAATTTTCCTGGAATGGTTCAATGAAGTGTTTGGTCCGAGTATGAAGAAATGCATCCTGGATAATAAACTGCCACTCCAGTGCCTCCTGTTAATGGACAATGCTCCTGCTCATCGTCCAGACTTGAAAGACCAATTGTCTAAGGAATTCAGTTTTGCAACAGTGAAGTTCTTGCCTTCCTAACACCATTCCTCTCCTCCACCCCATGGACCAGAAGTTATTGCAAACTTCAAAAAACTGTACACCAAAGCAATGTTTCAAAGGTGCTTTGACATAACCTCAGACTCTGAACTGACCCTAAGACTGTTCTGGAAGAATCACTTCAATATCTTCCTCTGCATAGGCCTTATAGATAAGGCTTGGCAGGGAGTGACTTCCAGGATGATGAACTCTACTTGGAGAAAACTGTGGCCAGACTGTGTCCAAAAGAAGGATTTTGAAGGGTTTGAGGTTGACCCTGTCGATCCTACACCTGTTGTGCAATCAATTGTGGCATTGGGGAATTCCATAGGGTTGGATGTGAGTGGCCAGGGTGTGAGAGAGTTGGTGGAGGACCACAATGAAGAGCTAACCCACTGATGAGCTGCAAGAGCTTCATCTACAACAGCACCAGACCACAGCTGAGGAAATTGCTTCAGAGGAGGAGGAAGAAAGATGAAAGAAGGTGCCTTCTTCAGAG